ACAGGGCATACGGTACCAACTAGTTAATGTAAATACAGGGCATATGGTACCACCTAGTTATATACAGTGCATACGGTACTACCTAGTTATATACAGGTCATACGGTACCACCTAGTTATATACAGGACATACGCTACCACCTAGTTATATACAGGACATATGGTACCACCTAGTTATAAACAGGGCATGGGGTACCACCCAGTTAATATATATATACAGGGCATACGGTACCACCTAGTTATATACAGGGCATACGGTACCAACTAGTTGATTTATATACAGGACATACGGTACCACCTAGTTATATACACGGCATACAGTACCACCTAGTTAGTGTATAAACAAGGCATACGGTACCACGTAGTAAATGTATATACAGGGAATACGGTACCACCTAGTGAATGTATAAACAGGGCATACGGTACCACCTAGTTCGTGTATAAACAGGGCATACGGTACCACGTAGCAAATTTATGTACAGGGAATGCGGTACCACATAGTTATATACAGGGCATACGGTACCACTTAGTTAATGTACAGTGAGGGAAAAAAGTATTTGATCCCCTGCTGATTTTGTATGTTTGCCCACTGACAAAGAAATGATCAGTCTATAATTTTAATGGTAGGTTTATTTGAACAGTGAGAGACAGAATAACAACAATAAAATCCAGAAAAACACATGTCAAAAATTTTATAAATTGATTTGCATTTTAATGAGGGAAGTAAGTATTTGACCCCCTCTCAATCAGAAATATTTCTGGCTCCCAGGTGTCTTTTATACAGGTAACGAGCTGAGATTAGGAGCACAGAAGCAATCAATCAATCAGATTCCAAACTCTCCACCATGGCCAAGACCAAAGAGCTCTCCAAGGATGTCAGGGACAAGATTGCAGACCTACACAAGGCTGGAATGGGCTACAAGACCATCGCCAAGCAGCTTGGTGAGAAGGTGACAACAGTTGGTGAGATTATTCGCAAATGGAAGAAACACAAAATACCTGTCAATCTCCCTCGGCCTGGGCCTCCATGCAAGATCTCACCTCGTGGAGTTGCAATGATCATGACAACGGTGAGGAATCAGCCCAGAACTACACGGGAGGATCTTGTCAATGATCTCAAGGCAGCTGGGACCATAGTCACCAAGAAAACAATTGGTAACACACTATGCCGTGAAGGACTGAAATCCTGCAGCGCCCGCAAGGTCCCCCTGCTCAAGAAAGCACATATACAGGGACATCTGAAGTTTGCCAATGAACATCTGAATGATTCAGAGGAGAACTGGGTGAAAGTGTTGTGGTCAGATGAGACCAAAATGGAGCTCTTTGGCATCAACTCAACTCGCCGTGTTTGGAGGAGGAGGAATGCTGCCTATGACCCCAAGAACACCATCCCCAGACCTTAATCCCATAGAAAATCTGTGGAGGGAGCTGAAGGTTTGAGTTGCCAAACGTCAGCCTCAAAACCTTAATGACTTGGAGAAGATCTGCAAAGAGGAGTGGGACAAAATCCCTCCTGAGATGTGTGCAAACCTGGTGGCCAACTACAAGAAACGTCTGACCTCTGTGATTGCCAACAAGGGTTTTGCCACCAAGTACTAAGTCATGTTTTGCAGAGGGTTCAAATACTTATTTCCCTCATTAAAATGCAAATAAATGTATAACATTTTTGACATGCGTTTTTCTGGACTTTTTTGTTGTTATTCTGTCTCTCACTGTTCAAATTAACCTACCATTAAAATTATAGACTGATAATTTCTTTGTCAGTGGGCAAACGTACAAAATCAGCAGGGGATCAAATACTTTTTTCCCTCACTGTATATACAGGGCATACGGTACCACCTAGTAATATACAGGGCATATGGTACCACCTAGTTATATATAGGGCATAGACCGATTTCATAATGCCTCCTGGTCTGACAAACAGCGGTTTAGCTCTGCCATTTTCCACCGCAGATGTGGAAGGGCGACATAGGCCAATATGGTGGATTGAGACTCAGCCCTTGCAGAAAAACAGATATCTCTAGCTTAAACTGACAGATTTTAAGTATTTTTGTATTATGTTTCTAAGATTGACACGCCGGTGCATCATTTTAAACAACTTATTCACACTTGAATTGTTCTTTACTCAACATTGTGGGCTAGCTGTATGCATTACCAGGTATGTACTAGGCATATTTGCTATCTTTGGGGCAAATACTAAATTTCCAAAAGGACTCTGAATTATAGGTGAAGAGTGTTACAATAGCTAGTAACAAACACCCACTCCATCAAGTTAGGACTTCTACTACTTGTTCTATTGAGTAGAACAAACCATTGTATGTAATAGCTATTCACATTTTTTATGCCTATGCAAATTAAGAAATTATATTCAGATGAAACCAAAGAATAATTTCTCTGTACGGCAGACGACTGACTGACTAGTTATTTATTTGCTAAACTAGTTTGGAATTTAAGTGGAACCTACCCCTGATGCGCGGAGCTAAATGCTATAACACATTGCTACACCTCGTTTAGGGGTGGGTCAGGACTCACTCACTCAGTTTGTGACCGCTTGCAATATTGTATGTTTTGATAAATATGTAAATATATTGTCATATTGCCCTCTTTGGACCTCCTCTTTTATAAATGTTGGGTTTATTTTGTGTTTCATTTTGGAGTGTTCAGAATCAGTTAGCTAACACTCTAACCACATCCATACATGCTGAACATAATGGGCAGGCTCAAATCAATTATTTTCACATTGTCCTTTCCAGCACAGTTTTAGAAACAATGGTGGATGTGTACGCAGGCCAGCCCAGTACAGCTTGGCTCATAGCGTGAAAAGGGAATCGGTTTGATACAGCATCAGTGTAGCGTGTGATTTGGACGGAGTCAGGTGCAGGAGGGGTAAATCACAGAATAAATGGTTTATTCGGCAAATACAGCGGTAGGCAGCAATGCGTAAAACAACTACAGTGCGGTAATAACGGCGCACTGGAGAAAACAAAACACAAGGGTGAATATCCCGGCGACACAGTACATAAAGCTCCACCGAGCTATCGACACCTCCACATGAAACAATCACATACAAAGACATGGGGGGCAGAGGGAATACTTATACAGGGACTGATGAGGGGATATTAACCAGGTGTGTGTAAAAACAAGACAAAACAAATGGAATGATGAGATGAGGAGCGGCAGTGGCTAGAAGGCCTGTGACGACGAATGCCGAAGCCTGCCCGAACAAGGAGAGGAGGCAGCTTCGGAGGAAGTCGTGACAATCAGTCTAATATGTCAACCTGGTCTCAGAGCATTTTGTATTATTCTGTAAGTAAATACATTTTGTATGAATTAATTTGTGGATGTCCATCATCTATTTTGATTGATATGTTACGAATTACAATTTGTATGATATGTTATGAATTTACAAAAGTTATGACATGTTACGAATTCCAATTTGTTGTGGCTAACGTTAGCTAGGTGGGTAGCTGGCTAACGCTAATGTTAGCTAGCTGGCTAACGTTAGCTAGGCTATGGGTTAGGGTTAGGTGTTAGGGTTAAGGTTTGGAGTTATGTTAAAGAGTTAAGGTTAGGGTTAGGGGAAGGGTAGCTAACATGCTATATAGTTGCAAAGTAGCTAAAAAGTGGTAAGTAGTTTAAAATGCTGAAGTGTTCCGTGATGAGAATTTAACATGCAACTTTTGGGTTGCTAGACATTCACTTTATACGCCTGCATTTTTGCCTAAAGTAACATTTTCTCTTATGTAACCATACTAAACGTAACATATCATACTAATTTCAGTGCCCCGGATTTACTTTTACTATGTTATGTCTAGTCTATGAGACCAGGCAGAACCTATGCATCTGGGGAGGCACTTTTGATGTTGTTAACAGGATGCATCAACCTGCATGGACGGACCTTGTGGTCCTCTGTAGCTCAGCTGGTAGAGCACGGCGCTTGTAACGCCAAGGTAGTGGGTTCGATCCCCGGGACCACCCATACACAAAAATGTATGCACGCATGACTGTAAGTCGCTTTGGATAAAAGTGTCTGCTAAATGGCATATTATTATTATTATTATTATCAATATTGAGTGGGCTGTGTTATTACACTGGTTGCTTCTCCTCCATGTCTGTTTTCTCAAACACCCACACAGCCCTAGAGCATCGCCCCTTAGCTTTACAACCATTTATTTTCTAATCCAAACAGCAAGAATAAAAAAAAGAGCTTCAGCAGAACACAATACGCTTGCCTTGTACCATGTGCGCTGGATCCCAGGGTACCTGTCTCTAGTCTTAAATCATGAGTTTGACAAGAGTAGAGGACTTTCAGTATAAAGCTAAAAATGTGATGATGTTGATGATTCAAAGTGCGTATTATTCAAAACACAAGATCATTACATTTAAAAAAAAAAACATTTGTAGTCATTTAGCAGACACTCTTATCCAGAGCGCCTTACAGTTAGTGAATACATTTATTTTATTTTATACTGGCCCCCCGTGGGAATCAAACCCACAACCCTGCCGTTGCAAACACCATGCTCTATCAACTGAGCTACATCCCTGCCGGCCATTCCCTCCGCTACCCTGGGCCAATTGTGCGCCGCCCATGAGTCTCCCGGTCGCGGCCAGCTGCGACAGAGCCTGGATTCGAACCAGGATCTCTAGTGGCACAGTTAGCACTGCGATGCAGTGCCTTAGACCACTGCGCCACTCAATATTAGATGTTTACTGAAAATGCTCTATTTTGTTAACTTCTTACATGCAAAATTGTTTGGGACTGTATCAACAATGGACTAATAGACAAAATACTAAAATATGTTTTTTTGAGAAACATATCCCTTTAAGAAAAACTATTGCTTTAAGAAAATCAGTTGTTTTCTGATTCATCATGATTTGTATCAAAAATGCATTACATTTGTCATATATTTTCTAAGTATCTTTGTAGAAGGGGCACTGACTAACACATTTACAAGAATAAAAGTATTATTAACATTACATTTTAGAATGATTAAGCTAAGTTCACTCCCAGTCTGAGCACCTGACATCAGAGTACACACTCTCCTGTGGTGTCTCTCTCTTCTTTCTTCCTCTTTTAGTTTTCCTCTCAGAGAAATTCAATGCAGCATAATTCAATGTAACTCCATCTTGATCCTAAGGAGGAACATATTTTAAGAAATATAGATATATACTTGTCAGTTACTTGTTGTTCATATTACATTTTCAAGCCATTAAAGGTTATGTTCACAGAAATACAAAACGTTTCTATGAGACAGTAGGCCACATATTGGTTGGAAAATATGATTACTGGCTCATTATTCATCACATAGAGTCGTTTTCAAGGGTTATCATGAGCTATTGAGGAATTTTAGCCAAAATTGGAATTGAACCATTTCACAATATAAATATACCTGTTCTCCCTGTAATCTGTCTTGTCTGCCAACCTGAGAGGCACCTACTGCTTCAATAGAAAAAGAAAAAGAAAATCAAATAAAGCGTCGCTGTCTGATGAAAAAATCTTATCTCCAAAACAGAAACTTTACAGGAAATTGAAAAAATTACCAGATTTTCCCATTAAAGAACATACAATTATGAAATTTCAGAAGCTTTTTTAAATACATTGTCATGGTCCTAGAGTCATGAAATGTTCAGAGTACATTGAGGTACTGCATTCAATAAATTAAAAAATAAATAAATGAAAACGGGCAAAAATTGAGTTACAAGGTTTTCATCAGAAGTGACTAAAAGGCAAGATAATTGTCCATAGCAATTGAAAACTACTGTAACTTCAGCGTAGCAAAAGATATCTAGCATATTTTCATAATCATATTGCTTACCTTTGCAATTTTCACAGACTTGCTCTTTACTTCTGGTGCAGGCAAGGAAGATGATCCCAATCCCACACAACACCAACGCCACTGCCAAACCTACAACAACCACTACCAGAGCCTTTTCTGAAACAAACATAAAAATGAATGTCACAAAGTATCTATCATCATTTTTACTCAAGAAAAATAGATAAAAATTGATAGCCAGATTTATGTTCATATATTGGCACTATAACAGAATGATGCACTATAAAACATTAGGACTACAGATGTAGGATCTTAATTAGATACGTTTTTTGTTGCTGATAACTTTCCTGCACAGCAGGAAATGCAAACTTGTGTTGTATTGGAGTTTTAAAAAGGCTTGTAAAGTTTGTAATTTCCAATTTGAAATTTCAGACTTCATTTGCCCTAACAAAAAATGTACTAATCCCTACTAAAATGTCCATTAATTATAATCCACATAATAATTCACATTTCCTGTTGCTGCAGGATAATTTTCCTCATGTACCAAACTGGCTCAAATTAAGATCCTACGCCTGTACACTTCAATTAACCTGATTCTACCTGACTCATTCCATTCCGTGTTAATGGCCAGGTCCAGTTTTGTTCCGTTGCCAAACAGGATCTCCCCACATGTGGCCACAGCACAGTAGTAAGTCCCAGCATCCAAGGGGCTGAGGTTGTTCTTGGAGAGGTTGTAGACACAGCTCTTTGTAGGAGAGGGAGTCTCAGGGCTCTTCTCACACTCATCTCTCCTGTTCCCAAGGGTGTAAATGACTCCTGGATGGGATTCTCCTGATCTGGCTCTGAACCAGTACACACTGTGTTCTCCTGTACAGGTCTCAGAGAGTACTGTACACTGCAGAGTCACATTTTCTCCTGGGTAGAATGGGTCAGACATTGGCCGCTGTACCACGGTCTTGTAATCAGACCTCTGGTGATTCTTACCTAAATGATACATTTATAGTTTCATGTATATCAATCTGAAACAACACTTTCTAAAATGCACATGAATGTATAAAACCACACAGACACATAGAAAACATATGAAGATGTAAGAACACTGAACAAAAAATAAAGGGCATTAATATCTTCTCATTACCTTTTAATACTAAAACAGTCCCATTGATAAAGTTGACTTCATAGTCTATCCTATGGACACAATAGTAAATGGCTTGATCCGTTGGTTCCATCTTTGAGATCGTGAGACGATATATCCCGTCAGCTTGAGCCTTCTCCACACTAAGATGTGAATTGTTAAATTCCTTGTGCAGATCAGGCCTTGACTGATTTTTCTGCATCCTTGCAACAACCTGAGGAATTTCCCCTGTTACGTGCTTGAACCAGAACATGTTTCCCTCATTGAATACTTGCTTCGAGAAAACACAGTAGAGAGTCACTGGGTCACCAATTTGAACCCCCTGAACTTGAACATGCCGCTGAACATTGTTGCATTGTGTCACATCTAAAAATGCAAAAAACAATTTAAAAGTTTAGGTTAATGAGAAGAACTAGGACTGAAGGACTGAAGAAAGCTCAACAGTATCAGAAAACCTATAAAGACAATTTCCCCCTCAATTTCTTACATTGTGAACTGAACATAATCACAATATGGATAGATAAGTCAAGGTAGGAATTGCAAAACTTACATATTGTACTGAAAAGTACCACAACAACCCTGATTCTGATCATCGTGGTGTGTAGCTCCAACTTCAGGTTAGTCCTCTGACTGGTGGATAAATGCTTGAAATAAGTATGGACCAATAAGCAGGTCTGATGTCAAAGACCTACCTGATAGGCTGTTGCAAAAAATCAAACACAATACTTCCTGTTACATTTTCCAACTTGCAACAGTGTTTTTGGTTACCCAAACACCTACAGTGTTTCATTTAGGCCACTATTCTGGTATTTGCTAAATTTGCTGCAACTTCTCAATGTATCTATTATATAGAGGCCTGCCACTCTTTCCTGAAGTGCTTTACAAGAGGGTAATGTCAAATGGGCTTCACTGCTATTTGTACAGCTTTCAGATAATGTTATGCCAAAGGTAGGCACTGCCAATAGTTTTGTGAAGGGGAATAGCCAACCAAAAGTTCTCAACTTTGTGAGCTCATTGTCCCTTTATTGTCCAGGTAATATAATAACCATGATGGCACAACAACAACCCTAGTGTTATCTTTTGTCAGAAATTACACCTAGTTAAAGGTATTGTCTACCAAAAAAATCCTGCAGCAACAGTACATTTGAATTAGTATGTGGATTATAATTAATGGAGATTTCTTTAGGCGTTGATAATTATTTTGTAAGGGAAAATTAAGTCTGACATTTGTAAATAGAAATTACAAACTTCAGAAGCCTTTTTAAATCTCAAATACACTACAAGTAAAACATATCCTACATTGCAGGAAAGTTCTCCTGCAACAGGGTGATCAAATTAAGATCCTACATCTGTATGCTTGCCAGGCAACCAGGGCGGTGCAGTAAAGCTCAGTTTAGCAGTGTGAACAGGGTATAAGTGAAACTGCAGTGTGGTTATCTTGCATGAATTGCAAGAGGGAGTGTTGTCAAGTCCTTGAATGGAGACGGTACCATGTGGATATACAGTATGTACAGTGGCTTGTGAAAGTATTCACCCCCCTTGGCATTTTTCCTATTTTGTTGCCTTACAACCTGGTTTGTATCATTTGATTTACACAACATGCCTACCACTTTGAAGATGCAAAATATTTTTTATTGTGAAACAAAGAAGAAATATGACAAAAAAACAAGAAACTTGAGTGTGCATAACTATTCACCCTCCCCAAAGTCAATATTTTGTAGAGCCACCTTTTGCAGCAATTACAGATGCAAGTCTCTTGGGGTATGTCTCTATAAGCTTGGCACATCTAGCCACTGGGATTTCTACCCATTCTTCAAGGCAAAACTGCTCCAGCTCCTTCAAGTTGGATGGGTTCCGCTGGTGTACAGCAATTTTTAAGTCATACCACAGATTCTCAAATGGATTGAGGTCTGGGCTTTGACTAGGCCATTCCAATACATTTAAACGTTTCCCCTTAAACCACTCGAGTATTGCTTTAGCAGTATGCTTAGGGTCATTGCCCTGCTGGAAGGTGAACCTCCGTCCCAGTCTCAAATCTCTGGAAGACTGAAACAGGTTTCCCTCAAGAATTTCCCTGTATTTAGCGCCATCCATCATTCCTTCAATTCTGACAAGCTTCCCAGTCCCTGCCGATGAAAAACTTCCCCACAGCATGATGCTGCCACCACCAAACTTCACTCTGGGGATGGTGTTCTCGGGGTGATGAGAGGTGTTGGGTTTGCGCCAGACATAGTGTTTTCCTTGATGGCCAAAAAGCTCAATTTTAGTCTCATCTGACCAGAGTTCCTTCTTTCATATATTTGGGGAGTCTCCCACATGCCTTTTGGTGAACACCAAAGGTGTTTGCTTATTTTTTTCTTTAAGCAATGGCTTTTTTTGGCCACTCTTCCGTAAAGCCCAGCTCTGTGGAGTGTACTGCTTAAAGTGGTCCTATGGACAGATACTCCAATCTCCGCTGTGGAGCTTTGTAGCACATTCAGGATTATCTTTGGTCTCTTTTTTATTTTTTTATTTTTTAGGGGGTAGATCAGCTTTAATATTTCAGATTGATTGTAACTTCCATCAATTTGTTGTCTGCATCACTTCCAATCACACATATGTTTTTTTTCTCGCAAATATATATATACAGTGAGGGAAAAAAGTATTTGATCCCCTGCTGATTTTGTACGTTTGCCCACTGACAAAGAAATGATCAGTCTATAATTTTAATGGTAGGTTTATTTGAACAGTGAGAGACAGAATAACAACAAAAAAATCCAGAAAAACACATGTCAAAAATTTTATAAATTGATTTGCATTTTAATGAGGGAAGTAAGTATTTGACCCCCTCTCAATCAATTTCTGGCTCCCAGGTGACTTTCATACAGGTAACGAGCTGAGATTAGGAGCACACTCTTAAAGGGAGTGCTCCTAATCTCACCTTGTTACCTGTATAAAAGACACCTGTCCACAGAAGCAATCAATCAATCAGATTCCAAACTCTCCACCATGGCCAAGACCAAAGAGCTCTCCAAGGATGTCAGGGACAAGATTGCAGACCTACACAAGGCTGGAATGGGCTACAAGACCATCGCCAAGCAGCTTGGTGAGAAGGTGACAACAGTTGGTGAGATTATTCGCAAATGGAAGAAACACAAAATACCTGTCAATCTCCCTCGGCCTGGGCCTCCATGCAAGATCTCACCTCGTGGAGTTGCAATGATCATGACAACGGTGAGGAATCAGCCCAGAACTACACGGGAGGATCTTGTCAATGATCTCAAGGCAGCTGGGACCATAGTCACCAAGAAAACAATTGGTAACACACTATGCCGTGAAGGACTGAAATCCTGCAGCGCCCGCAAGGTCCCCCTGCTCAAGAAAGCACATATACAGGGACATCTGAAGTTTGCCAATGAACATCTGAATGATTCAGAGGAGAACTGGGTGAAAGTGTTGTGGTCAGATGAGACCAAAATGGAGCTCTTTGGCATCAACTCAACTCGCCGTGTTTGGAGGAGGAGGAATGCTGCCTATGACCCCAAGAACACCATCCCCAGACCTTAATCCCATAGAAAATCTGTGGAGGGAGCTGAAGGTTTGAGTTGCCAAACGTCAGCCTCAAAACCTTAATGACTTGGAGAAGATCTGCAAAGAGGAGTGGGACAAAATCCCTCCTGAGATGTGTGCAAACCTGGTGGCCAACTACAAGAAACGTCTGACCTCTGTGATTGCCAACAAGGGTTTTGCCACCAAGTACTAAGTCATGTTTTGCAGAGGGTTCAAATTCTTATTTCCCTCATTAAAATGCAAATAAATGTATAACATTTTTGACATGCGTTTTTCTGGACTTTTTTGTTGTTATTCTGTCTCTCACTGTTCAAATTAACCTACCATTAAAATTATAGACTGATAATTTCTTTGTCAGTGGGCAAACGTACAAAATCAGCAGGGGATCAAATACCTTTTTTCCCTCACTGTATATACAGGGCATACGGTACCACCTAGTAATATACAGGGCATATGGTACCACCTAGTTATATATAGGGCATAGACCGATTTCATAATGCCTCCTGGTCTGACAAACAGCGGTTTAGCTCTGCCATTTTCCACCGCAGATGTGGAAGGGCGACATAGGCCAATATGGTGGATTGAGACTCAGCCCTTGCAGAAAAACAGATATCTCTAGCTTAAACTGACAGATTTTAAGTATTTTTGTATTATGTTTCTAAGATTGACACGCCGGTGCATCATTTTAAACAACTTATTCACACTTGAATTGTTCTTTACTCAACATTGTGGGCTAGCTGTATGCATTACCAGGTATGTACTAGGCATATTTGCTATCTTTGGGGCAAATACTAAATTTCCAAAAGGACTCTGAATTATAGGTGAAGAGTGTTACAATAGCTAGTAACAAACACCCACTCCATCAAGTTAGGACTTCTACTACTTGTTCTATTGAGTAGAACAAACCATTGTATGTAATAGCTATTCACATTTTTTATGCCTATGCAAATTAAGAAATTATATTCAGATGAAACCAAAGAATAATTTCTCTGTACGGCAGACGACTGACTGACTAGTTATTTATTTGCTAAACTAGTTTGGAATTTAAGTGGAACCTACCCCTGATGCGCGGAGCTAAATGCTATAACACATTGCTACACCTCGTTTAGGGGTGGGTCAGGACTCACTCACTCAGTTTGTGACCGCTTGCAATATTGTATGTTTTGATAAATATGTAAATATATTGTCATATTGCCCTCTTTGGACCTCCTCTTTTATAAATGTTGGGTTTATTTTGTGTTTCATTTTGGAGTGTTCAGAATCAGTTAGCTAACACTCTAACCACATCCATACATGCTGAACATAATGGGCAGGCTCAAATCAATTATTTTCACATTGTCCTTTCCAGCACAGTTTTAGAAACAATGGTGGATGTGTACGCAGGCCAGCCCAGTACAGCTTGGCTCATAGCGTGAAAAGGGAATCGGTTTGATACAGCATCAGTGTAGCGTGTGATTTGGACGGAGTCAGGTGCAGGAGGGGTAAATCACAGAATAAATGGTTTATTCGGCAAATACAGCGGTAGGCAGCAATGCGTAAAACAACTACAGTGCGGTAATAACGGCGCACTGGAGAAAACAAAACACAAGGGTGAATATCCCGGCGACACAGTACATAAAGCTCCACCGAGCTATCGACACCTCCACATGAAACAATCACATACAAAGACATGGGGGGCAGAGGGAATACTTATACAGGGACTGATGAGGGGATATTAACCAGGTGTGTGTAAAAACAAGACAAAACAAATGGAATGATGAGATGAGGAGCGGCAGTGGCTAGAAGGCCTGTGACGACGAATGCCGAAGCCTGCCCGAACAAGGAGAGGAGGCAGCTTCGGAGGAAGTCGTGACAATCAGTCTAATATGTCAACCTGGTCTCAGAGCATTTTGTATTATTCTGTAAGTAAATACATTTTGTATGAATTAATTTGTGGATGTCCATCATCTATTTTGATTGATATGTTACGAATTACAATTTGTATGATATGTTATGAATTTACAAAAGTTATGACATGTTACGAATTCCAATTTGTTGTGGCTAACGTTAGCTAGGTGGGTAGCTGGCTAACGCTAATGTTAGCTAGCTGGCTAACGTTAGCTAGGCTATGGGTTAGGGTTAGGTGTTAGGGTTAAGGTTTGGAGTTATGTTAAAGAGTTAAGGTTAGGGTTAGGGGAAGGGTAGCTAACATGCTATATAGTTGCAAAGTAGCTAAAAAGTGGTAAGTAGTTTAAAATGCTGAAGTGTTCCGTGATGAGAATTTAACATGCAACTTTTGGGTTGCTAGACATTCACTTTATACGCCTGCATTTTTGCCTAAAGTAACATTTTCTCTTATGTAACCATACTAAACGTAACATATCATACTAATTTCAGTGCCCCGGATTTACTTTTACTATGTTATGTCTAGTCTATGAGACCAGGCAGAACCTATGCATCTGGGGAGGCACTTTTGATGTTGTTAACAGGATGCATCAACCTGCATGGACGGACCTTGTGGTCCTCTGTAGCTCAGCTGGTAGAGCACGGCGCTTGTAACGCCAAGGTAGTGGGTTCGATCCCCGGGACCACCCATACACAAAAATGTATGCACGCATGACTGTAAGTCGCTTTGGATAAAAGTGTCTGCTAAATGGCATATTATTATTATTATCAATATTGAGTGGGCTGTGTTATTACACTGGTTGCTTCTCCTCCATGTCTGTTTTCTCAAACACCCACACAGCCCTAGAGCATCGCCCCTTAGCTTTACAACCATTTATTTTCTAATCCAAACAGCAAGAATAAAAAAAAGAGCTTCAGCAGAACACAATACGCTTGCCTTGTACCATGTGCGCTGGATCCCAGGGTACCTGTCTCTAGTCTTAAATCATGAGTTTGACAAGAGTAGAGGACTTTCAGTATAAAGCTAAAAATGTGATGATGTTGATGATTCAAAGTGCGTATTATTCAAAACACAAGATCATTACATTTAAAAAAAAAAACATTTTTAGTCATTTAGCAGACACTCTTATCCAGAGCGCCTTACAGTTAGTGAATACATTTATTTTATTTTATACTGGCCCCCCGTGGGAATCAAACCCACAACCCTGCCGTTGCAAACACCATGCTCTATCAACTGAGCTACATCCCTGCCAGCCATTCCCTCCGCTACCCTGGGCCAATTGTGCGCCGCCCATGAGTCTCCCGGTCGCGGCCAGCTGCGACAGAGCCTGGATTCGAACCAGGATCTCTAGTGGCACAGTTAGCACTGCGATGCAGTGCCTTAGACCACTGCGCCACTCAATATTAGATGTTTACTGAAAATGCTCTATTTTGTTAACTTCTTACATGCAAAATTGTTTGGGACTGTATCAACAATGGACTAATAGACAAAATACTAAAATATGTTTTTTTGAGAAACATATCCCTTTAAGAAAAACTATTGCTTTAAGAAAATCAGTTGTTTTCTGATTCATCATGATTTGTATCAAAAATGCATTACATTTGTCATATATTTTCTAAGTATCTTTGTAGAAGGGGCACTGACTAACACATTTACAAGAATAAAAGTATTATTAACATTACATTTTAGAATGATTAAGCTAAGTTCACTCCCAGTCTGAGCACCTGACATCAGAGTACACACTCTCCTGTGGTGTCTCTCTCTTCTTTCTTCCTCTTTTAGTTTTCCTCTCAGAGAAATTCAATGCAGCATAATTCAATGTAACTCCATCTTGATCCTAAGGAGGAACATATTTTAAGAAATATAGATATATACTTGTCAGTTACTTGTTGTTCATATTACATTTTCAACCCATTAAAGGTTATGTTCACAGAAATACAAAACGTTTCTATGAGACAGTAGGCCACATATTGGTTGGAAAATATGATTACTGGCTCATTATTCATCACATAGAGTCGTTTTCAAGGGTTATCATGAGCTATTGAGGAATTTTAGCCAAAATTGGAATTGAACCATTTCACAATATAAATATACCTGTTCTCCCTGTAATCTGTCTTGTCTGCCAACCTGAGAGGCACCTACTGCTTCAATAGAAAAAGAAAAAGAAAATCAAATAAAGCGTCGCTGTCTGATGAAAAAATCTTATCTCCAAAACAGAAACTTTACAGGAAATTGAAAAAATTACCAGATTTTCCCATTAAAGAACATACAATTATGAAATTTCAGAAGCTTTTTTAAATACATTGTCATGGTCCTAGAGTCATGAAATGTTCAGAGTACATTGAGGTACTGCATTCAATAAATTAAAAAATAAATAAATGAAAACGGGCAAAAATTGAGTTACAAGGTTTTCATCAGAAGTGACTAAAAGGCAAGATAATTGTCCATAGCAATTGAAAACTACTGTAACTTCAGCGTAGCAAAAGATATCTAGCATATTTTCATAATCATATTGCTTACCTTTGCAATTTTCACAGACTTGCTCTTTACTTCTGGTGCAGGCAAGGAAGATGATCCCAATCCCACACAACACCAACGCCACTGCCAAACCTACAACAACCACTACCAGAGCCTTTTCTGAAACAAACATAAAAATGAATGTCACAAAGTATCTATCATCATTTTTACTCAAGAAAAATAGATAAAAATTGATAGCCAGATTTATGTTCATATATTGGCACTATAACAGAATGATGCACTATAAAACATTAGGACTACAGATGTAGGATCTTAATTAGATACGTTTTTTGTTGCTGATAACTTTCCTGCACAGCAGGAAATGCAAACTTGTGTTGTATTGGAGTTTTAAAAAGGCTTGTAAAGTTTGTAATTTCCAATTTGAAATTTCAGACTTCATTTGCCCTAACAAAAAATGTACTAATCCCTACTAAAATGTCCATTAATTATAATCCACATAATAATTCACATTTCCTGTTGCTGCAGGATAATTTTCCTCATGTACCAAACTGGCTCAAATTAAGATCCTACGCCTGTACACTTCAATTAACCTGATTCTACCTGACTCATTCCATTCCGTGTTAATGGCCAGGTCCAGTTTTGTTCCGTTGCCAAACAGGATCTCCCCACATGTGGCCACAGCACAGTAGTAAGTCCCAGCATCCAAGGGGCTGAGGTTGTTCTTGGAGAGGTTGTAGACACAGCTCTTTGTAGGAGAGGGAGTCTCAGGGCTCTTCTCACACTCATCTCTCCTGTTCCCAAGGGTGTAAATGACTCCTGGATGGGATTCTCCTGATCTGGCTCTGAACCAGTACACACTGTGTTCTCCTGTACAGGTCTCAGAGAGTACTGTACACTGCAGAGTCACATTTTCTCCTGGGTAGAATGGGTCAGACATTGGCCGCTGTACCACGGTCTTGTAATCAGACCTCTGGTGATTCTTACCTAAATGATACATTTATAGTTTCATGTATATCAATCTGAAACAACACTTTCTAAAATGCACATGAATGTATAAAACCACACAGACACATAGAAAACATATGAAGATGTAAGAACACTGAACAAAAAATAAAGGGCATTAATATCTTCTCATTACCTTTTAATACTAAAACAGTCCCATTGATAAAGTTGACTTCATAGTCTATCCTATGGACACAATAGTAAATGGCTTGATCCGTTGGTTCCATCTTTGAGATCGTGAGACGATATATCCCGTCAGCTTGAGCCTTCTCCACACTAAGATGTGAATTGTTAAATTCCTTGTGCAGATCAGGCCTTGACTGATTTTTCTGCATCCTTGCAACAACCTGAGGAATTTCCCCTGTTACGTGCTTGAACCAGAACATGTTTCCCTCATTGAATACTTGCTTCGAGAAAACACAGTAGAGAGTCACTGGGTCACCAATTTGAACCCCCTGAACTTGAACATGCCGCTGAACATTGTTGCATTGTGTCACATCTAAAAATGCAAAAAAACTATTTAAAAGTTTAGGTTAATGAGAAGAACTAGGACTGAAGGACTGAAGAAAGCTCAACAGTATCAGAAAACCTATAAAGACAATTTCCCCCTCAATTTCTTACATTGTGAACTGAGCATAATCACAATATGGATAGATAAGTCAAGGTAGGAATTGCAAAACTTACATATTGTACTGAAAAGTACCACAACAACCCTGATTCTGATCATCGTGGTGTGTAGCTCCAACTTCAGGTTAGTCCTCTGACTGGTGGATAAATGCTTGAAATAAGTATGGACCAATAAGCAGGTCTGATGTCAAAGACCTACCTGATAGGCTGTTGCAAAAAATCAAACACAATACTTCCTGTTACATTTTCCAACTTGCAACAGTGTTTTTGGTTACCCAAACACCTACAGTGTTTCATTTAGGCCACTATTCTGGTATTTACTAAATTTGCTGCAACTTCTCAATGTATCTATTATATAGAGGCCTGCCACTCTTTCCTGAAGTGCTTTACAAGAGGGTAATGTCAAATGGGCTTCACTGCTATTTGTACAGCTTTCAGATAATGTTATGCCAAAGGTAGGCACTGCCAATAGTTTTGTGAAGGGGAATAGCCAACCAAAAGTTCTCAACTTTGTGAGCTCATTGTCCCTTTATTGTCCAGGTAATATAATAACCATGATGGCACAACAACAACCCTAGTGTTATCTTTTGTCAGAAATTACACCTAGTTAAAGGTATTGTCTACCAAAAAAATCCTGCAGCAACAGTACATTTGAATTAGTATGTGGATTATAATTAATGGAGATTTCTTTAGGCGTTGATAATTATTTTGTAAGGGAAAATTAAGTCTGACATTTGTAAATAGAAATTACAAACTTCAGAAGCCTTTTTAAATCTCAAATACACTACAAGTAAAACATATCCTACATTGCAGGAAAGTTCTCCTGCAACAGGGTGATCAAATTAAGATCCTACATCTGTATGCTTGCCAGGCAACCAGGGCGGTGCAGTAAAGCTCAGTTTAGCAGTGTGAACAGGGTATAAGTGAAACTGCAGTGTGGTTATCTTGCATGAATTGCAAGAGGGAGTGTTGTCAAGTCCTTGAATGGAGACGGTACCATGTGGATATACAGTATGTACAGTGGCTTGTGAAAGTATTCACCCCCCTTGGCATTTTTCCTATTTTGTTGCCTTACAACCTGGTTTGTATCATTTGATTTACACAACATGCCTACCACTTTGAAGATGCAAAATATTTTTTATTGTGAAACAAAGAAGAAATATGACAAAAAAACAAGAAACTTGAGTGTGCATAACTATTCACCCTCCCCAAAGTCAATATTTTGTAGAGCCACCTTTTGCAGCAATTACAGATGCAAGTCTCTTGGGGTATGTCTCTATAAGCTTGGCACATCTAGCCACTGGGATTTCTACCCATTCTTCAAGGCAAAACTGCTCCAGCTCCTTCAAGTTGGATGGGTTCCGCTGGTGTACAGCAATTTTTAAGTCATACCACAGATTCTCAAATGGATTGAGGTCTGGGCTTTGACTAGGCCATTCCAATACATTTAAACGTTTCCCCTTAAACCACTCGAGTATTGCTTTAGCAGTATGCTTAGGGTCATTGCCCTGCTGGAAGGTGAACCTCCGTCCCAGTCTCAAATCTCTGGAAGACTGAAACAGGTTTCCCTCAAGAATTTCCCTGTATTTAGCGCCATCCATCATTCCTTCAATTCTGACAAGCTTCCCAGTCCCTGCCGATGAAAAACTTCCCCACAGCATGATGCTGCCACCACCAAACTTCACTCTGGGGATGGTGTTCTCGGGGTGATGAGAGGTGTTGGGTTTGCGCCAGACATAGTGTTTTCCTTGATGGCCAAAAAGCTCAATTTTAGTCTCATCTGACCAGAGTTCCTTCTTTCATATATTTGGGGAGTCTCCCACATGCCTTTTGGTGAACACCAAAGGTGTTTGCTTATTTTTTTCTTTAAGCAATGGCTTTTTTTGGCCACTCTTCCGTAAAGCCCAGCTCTGTGGAGTGTACTGCTTAAAGTGGTCCTATGGACAGATACTCCAATCTCCGCTGTGGAGCTTTGTAGCACATTCAGGATTATCTTTGGTCTCTTTTTTATTTTTTTATTTTTTAGGGGGTAGATCAGCTTTAATATTTCAGATTGATTGTAACTTCCATCAATTTGTTGTCTGCATCACTTCCAATCACACATATGTTTTTTTTCTCGCAAATATATATATACAGTGAGGGAAAAAAGTATTTGATCCCCTGCTGATTTTGTACGTTTGCCCACTGACAAAGAAATGATCAGTCTATAATTTTAATGGTAGGTTTATTTGAACAGTGAGAGACAGAATAACAACAAAAAAATCCAGAAAAACACATGTCAAAAATTTTATAAATTGATTTGCATTTTAATGAGGGAAGTAAGTATTTGACCCCCTCTCAATCAATTTCTGGCTCCCAGGTGACTTTCATACAGGTAACGAGCTGAGATTAGGAGCACACTCTTAAAGGGAGTGCTCCTAATCTCACCTTGTTACCTGTATAAAAGACACCTGTCCACAGAAGCAATCAATCAATCAGATTCCAAACTCTCCACCATGGCCAAGACCAAAGAGCTCTCCAAGGATATCAGGGACAAGATTGTAGACCTACACAAGGCTGGAATGGGCTACAAGACCATCGCCAAGCAGCTTGGTGAGAAGGTGACAACAGTTGGTGCGATTATTCGCAAATGGAAGAAACACAAAATAACTGTTAATCTCCCTCGGCCTGGGACTCCATGCAAGATCTCACCTCGTGGAGTTGCAATGATCATGACAACGGTGAGGAATCAGCCCAGAACTACACGGGAGGATCTTGTCAATGATCTCAAGGCAGCTGGGACCATAGTCACCAAGAAAACAATTGGTAACACACTATGCCGTGAAGGACTGAAATCCTGCAGCGCCCGCAAGGTCCCCCTGCTCAAGAAAGCACATATACAGGGCCGTCTGAAGTTTGCCAATGAACATCTGAATGATTCAGAGGAGAACTGGGTGAAAGTGTTGTGGTCAGATGAGACCAAAATGGAGCTCTTTGGCATCAACTCAACTCGCCTTGTTTGGAGGAGGAGGAATGCTGCCTATGACCCCAAGAACACCATCCCCACAGTCAAACATGGAGGTGGAAACATTATGCTTTGGGGGTGTTTTTCTGCTAAGGGGACAGGACAACTTCACCGCATCAAAGGGACGATGGACGGGGCCATGTACCGTCAAATCTTTGGTGAGAACCTCCTTCCCTCAGCCAGGGCATTGAAAATGGGTCGTGGATGGGTATTCCAGCATGACAATGACCCAAAACACACAGCCACGGCAACAAAGGAGTGGCTAAAGAAGAATCACATTAAGGTCCTTGAGTGGCCTAGCCAGTCTCCAGACCTTAATCACATAGAAAATCTTTGGAGGGAGCTGAAGGTTCGAGTTGCCAAACGTTAGCCTCGAAACCTTAATGACTTGGAGAAGATCTGCAAAGAGGAGTGGAACAAAATCCCTCCTGAGATGTGTGCAAACCGGATGGCAAACTACAAGAAACGTCTGACTTCTGTGATTGCCAACAAGGGTTTTGCCACCAAGTACTAAGTCATGTTTTGCAGAGGGGTCAAATACTTATTTCCCTCATTAAAATGCAAATCAATTTATATTATTTTTGACATACGTTTTTCTGTATTTTTTTGTTGTTATTCTGTCTCTCACTGTTCAAATAAACCTACCATTAAAATTATAGACTGATCATATATTTGTCAGTGGGCAAACTTACAAAATCAGCAGGGGATCAAATACTTTTTTCCCTCACTGTATTTTGCAATCTATATAGAAAGTCTGTCAATCCTTTGGTCCTTAAATGAAACTGGTATACTTTTTTATTTATCCCAATTTTCTTTAACCAATTATATTCTTTAATGCAAGGCCGACAGACAAGTTCCTTACTTTTTCCCCCTTCCACTTTCCTTTTCCATTTTTGCGGTAATGCTGCAATTATTTGGTTGTAATTTTGTGTAGAGCAGACATTTCCATATGTTTTTCTTAGCTGCATGTGAGACATAACTCCACCAGTCCTACCTATATTATCATTTACGAAGATTATAAAAAAATAAAATGATGTTGTCAAAAAAAAAGTTTTTTTAATCAATTAGTATATTTCAGTTTAACCACAAAATGTGTTGCTTTATTTGTTCTGTCGTTTCTGGAGGATTCAATTGAAATTGCAACCAACTTTCTATGGCTTGTTTTAGAAAAAGTGATATTTGGGAGATATTTAACTTAAAGTGAGAGGTTGTAATCTGAATTAAGGGAAGAAGGCCATTCTTGAACATTGGGTGAGAGAATCTTACTAATTTGCTAGAGAACCAGTTTGGATTTAAGTATAACTTTTGTATGACTGAAGCTTTTAGTGATAGGTCTAATGCTTTAATATTTTATAATTTCTGTCCTCCGAATTCATATTCATTATATAAATAGGCCCATTTAATTTTGTCTGGCTTGCCGTTCCAAATAAAATAGAATATTTTTTTCGCATATAATTTAAAAAACTGTTCGCTAGGCGTAGGCAAGACCATAAGCAAATAGGTAAACTGGGATAATACTAAAGAGTTAATCAGGGTGATTTTTCCACAAATTGACCTTTCCATTGTAGCAATATCTTATCTATGTTTGCTAACTTTCTATTAAAATGTATTGGAGTGAGATCATTTATTTCATTTGGGATATGTATTCCGAGTATATCCACATCACCATCAGACCATTTTATTGGTAAACTACATGGTAATGTAAAAATTGTATTTTTTAGTGATCCAATACGTAATATAGTACATTTATCATAATTTGGTTGTAATCCAGAGAGGTTAGAAAATGTATCTAGATCCTCTATGAGGCTGTGGAGGGATTCAAGTTGTGGATTTAAAAGAAAACATGAATCATCAGCGTACAATGACACCTTTGTTTTAAAGCCCTGGATTTCTAATCCCTTTATATTATTGCTGGATCTGATTTTAATAGCTAACATCTCGATGGCAATAATAAATAGATATGCCGACAGTGGACAACCTTGTTTCACTCCTCTTGAGAGTTTAAAACTTTCAGAGAAATAGCCATTATTTACTATTTTACACCTAGGGTTACTATACATGATTTTAACCCAATTTATAAGAGATTGTCCAAAATTGAAATGCTCCAGGCATTTATATATAAACACCAAGTCGAACTTTATCAAATGCCTTTTCGAAGTCTGCTATGAATAGTAGGCCTGGTTTCCCAGATTTTTCATAGTGTTCTATTGTTTCCAGTACTTGCCTTATATTATCTCCAATGTATCGCCCATGTAAAAAACCTGTCTGATTAGAATGAATAATGTCCGACAATACCTTTTTAATTCTATGCGCTATACATTTTGCTAGAATTTTTGCATCACAACACTGAAGTGGAAAGGGGCCTCCAATTTATTTAATGGACTGGATCTTTATGTTTTCCACTTGTATCCTGTTTCAGTAATAATGAAATCAGACCTACTAATTGAGTGTCTGATAATCTAGCATTTACATAGGAGTGGTTAAAACATGCTAATAACGTTCCTCTGAGTATAACAAAAAAGGTTTAGTATACCTCGACTGGTATGCCATCCAACCCTGGAGTTTTCCCGGACTTAAAGTCTTTAATTGCATCCAGAAGTTCCTCCTCTGTAATTTCACCTTCACATGAGTCTTTCTGTATGGCTGTTAATTTTACATTATCAATAGAAAATAAAAAGTATTTAATACACTGCCGATTTTTATCATAGGTACACTTCAACTGTTTTTTAAGTAAATAATTAGCATTTTATTGCATGACATAAGTATTTGATACATCAGAAAAGCAGAACTTAATATTTGGTACAGAAACCTTTGTTTGCAATTACAGAGATCATACGTTTCCTGTAGGTCTTGACCAGGTTTGCACACACTGCAGCAGGGATTTTGGCCCACTCCTCCATACAGACCTTCTCCAGATCCTTCAGTTTTCGGGGCTGTTGCTGGGCAATACGGACTTTCAGCTCCCTCCAAAGATTTTCTATTGGGTTCAGGTCTGGAGACTGGCTAGGCCACTCCAGGACCTTGAAATGATTCTTACGAAGCCACTCCTTCGTTGCCCTGGCTGTGTGTTTGGGATCATTGTCATGCTGAAAGACCCAGCCACGTTTCATCTTCAATGCCCTTGCTGATGGAAGGAGGTTTTCACTCAAAATCTCACGATACATGGCCCAATTCATTCTTTCCTTTACACGGATCAGTCGTCCTGGTCCCTTTGCAGAAAAACAGCCCCAAAGCATGATGTTTCCACCCCCATGCTTCACAGTAGGTATGGTGTTCTTTGGATGCAACTCAGCATTCTTTGTCCTCCAAACACGACAAGTTGAGTTTTTACCAAAAAGTTCTATTTTGGTTTCATCTGACCATATGACATTCTCCCAATCCTCTTCTGGATCATCCAAATGCACTCTAGCAAACTTCAGACGGGCCTAGACATGTACTGGCTTAAGCAGGGGGACACGTCTGGCACTGCAGGATTTGAGTCCCTGGCGGCGTAGTGTGTTACTGATGGTAGGCTTTGTTACTTTGGTCCCAGCTCTCTGCAGGTCATTCACTAGGTCCCCCCGTGTGGTTCTGGGATTTTTGCTCACCGTTCTTGTGATCATTTTGACCCCACGGGGTGAGATCTTGCGTGGAGCCCCAGATCGAGGGAGATTATCAGTGGTCTTGTATGTCTTCCATTTCCTAATAATTGCTCCCACAGTAGATTTCTTCAAACCAAGCTGCTTACCTATTGCAGATTCAGTCTTCCCAGCCTGGTGCAGGTCTACAATTTTGTTTCTGGTGTCCTTTGACAGCTCTTTGGTCTTGGCCATAGTGGAGTTTGGAGTGTGACTGTTTGAGGTTGTGGACAGGTGTCTTTTATACTGATAACAAGTTCAAACAGGTGTCATTAACACAGGTAACGAGTGGAGGACAGAGGAGCCTCTTAAAGAAGAAGTTACAGGTCTGTGAGAGCCAGAAATCTTGCTTGTTTGTAGGTGAACAAATACTTATTTTCCACCATAATTTGCAAATAAATTAATTAAAAATCCTACAATGTGATTTTCTGGATTTTTTTTTCTCCATTTGTCTGTCATAGTTGACATGTACCAGATAAGAATTTTGAGGCTCATTGCCTGCATTCTCAATGTCTGTAAGAGGAACAGCTTGTGGTTTTAATGGGGTTAAATAGGGTAAACATTCTAACACCCTTTTCACATTATCATTCCGACCTGAACCCTACTGTGGGCTAGAATGTTTTATTTATCCATTGCGCTTTCAATAACTTTACAACATAGTTTAATCAACAATGCTGTCCAGGCAACCCTGCCAGTGTAGTAAAGCTTGGCTCAGTAGGGTGAATACGGTCACAGTAAACCAGCAGTATGGGTTCCCTATATCTGCAATTTACTGAAAAGGGGCCTAAATCTGGGTTGCATGGATTGTATGATTGAGTGTTGTAAGGTTCTTGAATGGAGATTACATCATGTGGATGTACAGTATGTAGTATGTACTTCATGTATTAGGGTCCTTTGATCACTGATGGTAAGATACTGCATATGGGATATGGTTGTCTTTCGTGATATGATTATGACATGATATTTTTGTTTTTTTCATGCCACTTGGGAACAATCATTTATTGCTGAAATGTGTTTTAATACAGTACCTTATGAAGCAAAATATACTGTAAATAAACAGATTGCTAAGCTACAATTTGAACTCAAGAAATGCTGTTGTATTAAACAAATAACTAAGTTTGCTTCATTTAACATTGTCTCCTAAAACAACAAATATTTGTACTTGACACTTTAAAAAAAAGAAAAAAAAAGTGATAAAATAATATATGAATGCAAATAGAGTATAGTAACGGTTTGACATAGTCTTAGATAGTTAGGAAAACACTGCTCTTACCCTATGATACAACTATAAATCAGTATAAAACATAAGTAGCCTATGAACTATGTTGATTTAAATATAACATTTAACATTTTAGTCATTTAGCAGACGCTCTTATCCAGAGCGACTTACAGTTAGTGAGTGCATACATTTTCACACTGGTCCCTCGTGGGAAACGAACCCACAACTCTGGCGTTGCAAGCACCATGCTCTACCAACTGAGCTACACAGGACTTTGTGAGGCAAAACATGTTGTTACAGATGTAGGATCTTAATTTGATCACTCTTTTGTTGCTCAGAATTTTCCTGCTACGCTTTGTGATTTACATACATTCACTAAAAACCCACACTAACACACGGTTATGTTAAAAGTATTGCACTTTTCATGTAGCCTATTTTGTCCAGCTAATAGCCTATCAAGCAACATTATGGACTAAACGCTCAAATCCTGTTGGTGCATGATTAATTTGCCATGGCAATACTGGTCAAATTAAGATCCTATATCTGTATGTTTGCTCGGGTATTGACAGTTATACACTAGCTATTCAAAAATAGATTTTGGGCCAAAATTCATTACTCTTTAGTGAAACAAAGTTCAGTCCCAGTCTGAACATCTGACATCAGAGTACACACTCTCCTGTGGTGACTCTCTCTTCTTTCCTCCTCTTTTAGTTTTCCTCTCAGAGAAATTCAATGCAGCATAATTCAACATATCTGCATCTTGATCATGTGAATAATCATATTTTCATCAAACTGTTATACAATATTAAACCATAACGGGATACATAGTCCTAAAAAAATAGCACGAGATAGAGTAGTAATCAATGTAGGAAATATCTCATTACAAAAAAAATGCTGTGTTACATTTCTGGACAATATTGATTAGACAACTTTGCTGTGTTTACCTGGCTTCTTGATTCTCTAGTTGAGTTATCATGTCCGATATGGTGAGAAGCACCCACTGTTTCCATGGATAAAAACAAAGCATAAAAATTACTAAAAACTCCCAAAAGGATATTAGCCTAACAATTTTAGATACTTCTCTACAATTTGCTAAGTTGAACAGCTCACCTTTACAATGTTCACAAACTGGTCTAGTATGTCTGGTGCAGATGAGGATAATGATCCCAATCACACAGACAGCCGAGGTCACACCCAGAGCAATGATTACAGGCTCTGTTGCTTTTTCGGGAAAGGAAAAAAAACAAGATCATAGTTTTGGCATACTTATGTAAAATAAAGTTATATTCTGTTCATTCGGAAAGTATTCAGACCGCTTGACTTTTTCCACATTTTGTTATGGTACAGCCTTATTCTAAAATGGATTAAATAAATAAAAAATCCTCATCAATCTACACAAAATACCCCATAATGACGAAGCAAAAACTGGTTTTTAGACATGTATTAAAAATAAAAAACAGAAATACCTTATTTACATAAATATTCAGACCCTTTGCTAAGCTCAGGTACATCCTGTTTCCATTGATCATCCTTTAGATGTTTCTACAACTTGATTGGAGTCCACCTTTGGTAAATACAATTGATTGGACATGATTTGGAAAGGCACACACCTGTCTATATGAGGTCCCACTGTTGACAGTGCATGTCAGAGCAAAAACCAAGCCATGAGGTTGAAGGAATTGTCCGTAGAGCTCCAAGACAGGATTGTGTCGAGGCACAGATCTGGGGAAGGGTACCAAAACATTTCCACAGCATTGAAGGTCCCCAAGAACACAGTGGCCTCCATCATTCTTAAATGGAAGAAGTTTGGAGCCACCAAGACTCCTCCGAGAACTGGCCGCCCGGCCAAACTGAGCAATCGGGGGAGAGGGGCCTTGGTCAGGGAGGTGACCAAGAACCCGATGGTCACTCTGACAAAGCTCCAGAGTTCCTCTGTGGAGATAGGAGAACCTTCCAGAAGGACAACCATCTCTGCAGCACTCCACCAATCAGGCCTTTATGGTAGAGTGGTCAGACGGAAGCCACTCCTCAGTAAAAGGCACATGACAGCCCGCTTGGAGTTCGACAAAAGGCACCTAAAGGACTCTCAGACCATGAGAAACAAGATTCTCTGGTCTGATGAAACCAAGATTGAACTCTTTGGCCTAAATGCCAAGCGTAATGTCTGGAGGAATCCTGGCACCATCTCTACGGTGAAGCATGGTGGTGGGAGCATCATGCTGTGGGGATATTTTTCAGCGCCAGGGACTGGGAGAATAGTCAGGATCGAGGGAAAGATGAAAGGAGTAAAGTACAGAGAGATCCTTGATAAAAACCTGCTCCAGAGCACTCAGGACCTCAGACTGGGGCGAAGGTTCAACAGGACAACGACCCTAAGCACACAGTCAAGACAACACAGGAGTGGCTTCAGGACAAGTCTCTGAATGTCCTTGAGTGACCCAGCCAGAGCCCGGACTTGAACCCGATCGAACATCTCTGGAGAGACCTGAAAATGGCTGTGCAGTGACGCTCCCCATCCAACCTGACAGAGCTTGAGAGGATCTGCAGAGAAGAATGGGAGAAACTCCCCAAATACACGTGTGCCAAGCTTGTAGCATCATACCCAAGAAGACTCAATGCTGTAATCACTGCCAAAGGTTTTTCAACAAAGTACTGAATAAAGGGTCTGAATACTTATGTAAATGATATTTCAGTTCTTACATTTTTAGAAATCTGCAATAATTTCTAAAAACCTGTTTTTGCTTTGTCATTATGGGGTATTGTGTGTATTGATGAGGGGGGAAAAAAACAATTTAATCAATTTTAGAATAAGGCTTTAGAATGACAAAATGTGGAAAAAGTCAAGGGGTCTGAATACTTTCCGAATGCACTGTATATGTTTTTTTAAGTGTACAACCTCAAGAACTGATGATATTCAACCTTTAATGATGGCTTCAGTTGTTAAGAATGTTTTAGATTATAGATATGTACATACATACTACCTACCAATATTCAGGTTTGTCCGTTGCCCGACAGGATCTCCCCACATCAGAGGGGCTGAGGTTGTTTTTGGAGAGGCTGTAGACACAGCTCTTTCTAGGAGAGGGAATCTCAGGGCTCTTCTCACACTCATCACTCCTGTTCCCATGGGTGTAAATTACTCCTGGATGGGATTCTCCTGATCTGGCTCTGAACCAGTACACACCAGTGGCGGTCGGTGCCATTTCAGATGAGGGAGGATGATTTTTACATTTTTATGAACATGGCCTTATTTCTTTTACATCATATTGTATTTTCCCTGTACCCATCATGAGGTTGCTACAACCTAGCCTGTTAATGAAAGGTTACAACGTAGGTGCACAAGTCGAGAACATTTTGAGTAATCAAGGTGACAGACAGTGGCACATTCAATACTGCCTTGCACACTCTTGCATGCATCTAGCTGATCTAGGGTGTAAGAATTAGTCCAATAGTTGGAAACGAGAGTTTCTATTGGACAAATTCAGGTATGTTTATCCCCGTTTCGATCGGTTTGCTTCCGTTTAAGAATTTATTTTCAACAGAATCGGCGCAATGAATACACTCCTGATCACATGCAAACACAGTTCACTTTTATAGCAGCCACATACAAACAGCTCGTTGTATATATAATTCCTTCTCGCATCTATCTACACGCTCTCCTCTTCTCACCTTTTCCTTCACTTGTGGACTTCAATGCACAACACATCAGCTGTCTGTGACCAGTTGAAAAAACCTTTCCAAGCCAAACCTCCATATCATGACCGCTAACCGCTACACAGAGCCTACATCTTTGTCACGTCATAGTCAACATAGCTACTAGAACTAACACGTTAGTAGTCAGCAGCAAGCAGTTTAGCAGTTAAACCGGCGGGCCCCGGTGGCAATACATTTATAAAACCAAAAGCTTACCTTGACTTGGAAGAGTTCCAGTGTTGGATAGCCATAGCCAGCTAGCTAACATAGCATCCCTCTGTTTGAGCTGGGTGTTTGAGTAGGCTAAACTAGCTCGCTGCATTTGACGCTAGCTAAGTAAGTGATAGAGAAAGTGGTAAAAATACATACAACGAAACATAGCTCTATCTCTCTCTCTCTCCTTCTCTCTCGCTTCTCCTTAATTTTGGAAGAAATTAATTTGTTCAAAATTGTTCAACTATTGTTTTTCTCTCTCTCACTGGCCTCTGCACCACAGTGTGGTAGTGTGACCTCTTAAAAGTTTTCATTCTCTAATGTATCACATGCTTCACAAAGATTTTAAGCGTTAAGTTTTGTCAGCTAAATGTTTACATTACTAAGGGTTTTTCTTTTGTAATAACACATATGTGTATGCTACTATTGGCATTCAAACAATCAACACAAGACAGTGAGTACAAAGGGAGCTGTGTGAATAACATGGAAATGTACTAATGTTAATAGTATTTAGGTACTATGATTACCTTTGAATAGTAAAAGAGTACCATTGATAAAGTTGACTTCATAGACTGTCCTAACTGCACAATTGTACACAGCTTCTTCCGTTGGGTCCATGTTTGTAAAAGCAAGTCGATACATCCTGTCAGCATCAACTTTCTCCACATTGAAACGTGAATGGTTGATTCCTTGTACCATACAGGCCTATCATCTTATGTCATTGTAACAATACCTTGAGGCTTTTGCCATTTGTTTGTACCAGAACATATACATTTCCATTTTAGTCATTTAGCTGACACACTTATCCAGAGCGACTTAGAGTTAGTGTATTCATTTTAAGATAGCCAGGTGGGACAACCACTTATCACAGGCATAATAAGTACACTTTTCCACAATAAAGTAGTTATCAGCAAAGTCAGTGCTAGAAAGGGGGGATTCAGGAACGTTTAATTGTTTTATTTATTTATTTATTTTGGGGGGGGGGGGGGGTCGAGGTGAGGGGTCGAGGTGAGGAGGGGGATTATTTAAGATAGAGGTAGGGTTTCAGGTTCCGTCGGTAGATGGGCAGGGACTCTGCTGTCCTAGCTTCAGGGTTGAACCTGGTTCTACCATTGGGCCAGGACAGAGAAGAGCTTGGACTGGGCTGAGCGGTAGCTGTCCTCTTGTGGGGGTGGGAGGGCCAGGAGACCATGCTCTTGCAGTGGATGCGAGCTTCGACTGGAAGCCAGTGGAGTGACATGGGAGAACTTGGGAAGGTTGAAAACCAGGCAGGCTGCACTGTTCTGGATAAGTTCCAGGGGTTTGATGACACAAGTGGGGAGCCCAGCCAACAGCGAGTTGCAGTAGTCCTGGATTAGGACCTGCGCTGCTTCCTCTGTGAGGTAGGGTCGTACTCTACAGATGTTGTAGAGCATGAGCCTGCAGGAGTGAATCACTGCTTTGGTGTTTGCAGAGAATTACAGGGTGTTGTCAAGGTTCTTTGCACTCTTGGAGGGCGACACTGTGGAGATGTCAACCGTGATGGAGAGGTCTTTGAGCGGGTAGGCCTACCCCGGGATGAAGAGCAGCTCCGTCTTGTCTAGGTTGAGCTTTAGGTGGTGGGCCGACATCCAAACTGAGATATCTGCCAGGCACGCAGAGATGCGTGTCACCACCTGGGTGTCAGAAGGGGGGAAGGAAAAAAAGTAGTTGAGTGTCATCTGCATAGCAATGATAGGAGAGACCATGTGAAGATATGACGGTCAAGTGACTTGGTGTATAGAAGAGGAGAGGGCCTAAAACTGAGCCCTGCGGGACACCAGTATTGAGAGTGCGTGATGCAGACACAGAGTCTCTCCATGTCACCTGGTAGGAGCGGCCTGCCAGGTAGGATGTAATACAAGAGATGTGTATGTTACTTGAACTCTGTGAAGCATTAATTTGTTCTGCAATCTGAGGTGCAGTTAATTGCCGATTTCTGAGGCTGGTAACTCTAATGAACTTATCCTGTGGCAGTCCTCATGAGAGCCAGTTTCATCATAGCGCTTGATGGTTTTTGCGACTGCACGTCAAGAAACTTTAAAAGTTCTTGAAATGTAATGTATTGACTGACCTTCATGTCTTTCTTTCTCTTTGCTTATTTGAGATTTTCTTGCCATAATATGGACTTGGTCTTTTACCAAATAGGGCTATCTTCTGTATGCCACCCCTACCTTGTCACAACACAACTGATTGGCTCAAACACATTAAGAAGGAAAGCAATTCCACAAATTAACTTTTAACAAGGCACACCTGTTAATTACAATGCATTCCAGGTGACTAACTCATGAAGCTGGTTGAGAAAATGCCAAGAGTGTGCAAAGCTGTCATCAAGGCAAAGGGTGGCTATTTGAAGAATCTCAAATATAAAATATATTTTGATTTGTTTAACACTTTTTTGGTTACTACGTGATTCCATATGTGCTATTTCATAGTTTTGATGTCTTCCCTATTATTCTACAATGTAGAAAATAGCACAAATAAAGAAAAACCCTTGAATGAGTTGGTGTGTGCAAACTTTTGACTGGTACTGTATATAGGCAGGTCTAAACTCACAGACCTATTTGATAGGCCGGAGAAAAGAATCATGCAACACTTCCTGTAAAATGTTCCAACCAACAACCTTGTTGGTTACCTAAACACACAGTGTTTCCTTTAGGCCAATATTTTTTATTGTGATAAATCAACTGTACTTGTCAATATATAAATTATGTAGGTTACATGGCCTAAATGTTTACTGAGGTATTTGACAATATGTGACCGACCGGTCTTATGATTTTTTTTTTTGAAATGGTGTTGTTTACATTGGATAAAAGAAGAGACTCTAGAAAATGGTATATCATACACATTTACATTTACATCATTTAGCAGACGCTCTTATCCAGAGCGACTTACAAAATGGTGCATTCACCATATGATAGCCAGTGGGACAACCACTTTTTCTTCTTTTTTTTATGGGGGGGGTAGAAGGATTACTTTATACTATTCCAGGTATTCCTTAAAGAGGTAGGGTTTCAAGTGTCTCCGGAAGGTGGTCAGTGACTCCGCTGTCCTGGCATCATGGGGGAGCTTGTTCCACCATTGGGGTGCCAGATCAGCGAATAGCTTTGACTGGGCTGAGCGGGAACTGTGCTTCCGTAGAGGTAGGGGAGCTAGCAGGCCAGAGGTGGATGAACGTAGTGCCCTCGTTTGGGTGTAGGGTCTGATCAGAGCCTGAAGGTAAGGAGGTGCCGTTCCCGTCACAGCTCCGTATGCAAGCACCATGGTCTTGTAGTAGATGCGAGCCTTAACTGTAAGCCAGTGGAGTGTGCGGAGGAGGGTGGTGACATGAGAGAACTTGGGAAGGTCGAACACCAGATGGGCTGCGGCGTTCTGGATAATTTGTAGGGGTTTAATGGCACAGGCAGGGAGCCCAGCCAACAGCGAGTTGCAATAATCCAGACGGGAGATGACAAGTCCCTGGATTAGGACCTGTGCCGCTTTCTGTGTAAGGTAAGGTCGTACTCTGCGAATGTTGTAGAGCATGAACCTGCAGGATCGGGTCACCGCTTTGATGTTAGCGGAGAACGACAGGGTGTTGTCCAGGGTCACGCCAAGGTTCTTTGCACTCCGGGAGGAGGACACAGTGGAGTTGTCAACCGTGATGGCGAGATCATGGAGCGGACAGTCCTTCCCCGGGAGGAAGAGCAGCTCCGTCTTGCCAAGGTTCAGCTTGAGGTGGTGATCCGACATCCACACTGATATGTCTGCCAGACATGCAGAGATGCGATTCGCCACCTGGTTATCAGAAGGGGGAAAGGAGAAAATTAATTGTGTGTCATCTGCGTAGCAATGATAGGAGAGACCATGTGAGGATATGACAGAGCCAATTGACTTGGTGTATAGAGAGAATAGGAGACTACTTGAGGAACAATGGAAAAGTAATTCTGCTTTGAAAGTTTATAAACTTGTCACCTCACTTTTTAGAAAATGTCTCGTGTATATTTTGGTACCTATTGGAGAGCTCTTCTTTGTCTACACCCATTCAGCATCATTCACACCCTTTTAAGCTTTAGCCCCACCCATCTCTTTAAGGATTCACTTGTGACGCTATGTACTAAACAACCAAAGATTCCAAGACTAAAGGCTGGTTTATATTACGGGTGTGTTCGTGAAATGTAATCTGGAATGCAGTGCCAGAGTGTGCTCTGGGCATTCGTAAACTCAGAGCGTTGTCAGATTGCCTGTTCGTAAATTCAGAGCGTTTCGCTCTCAGAGCGCAAACTGGACGCTCTGGCCGAAAAGTAAGGTTGATCCGAGCGTTCTGACCTAACAACAGCAGTCAAGCACCCAAGCTAACTGGCTAACGTTGGCTAGCTTGCTAGCTACTTCCAGACACAAATAAGAGAATAGCTCACTCTGACCATTTTACTCGCCCTAGCTGAGCTGGTTATGCTGTTTTTATGTTATCCAGAGCGTTGGTGACTGCCACTGTGCTTTTTTTGGCAACATTTACTGACACCGGTCATATTCAACGGGTGTTGAGCGTTCATAAATTCGTCAGTTATTCTGCGCTCTGGCACACTCAGACGAGAGTGCTCTGAAATCGGAGTAGATAGCCGGAGCGAATTTACCAGCTACGTCTATCGACAGTTGTCGCAGTGACATCATAAACATTCTATTTAATTAGTTATTTGCATAGTGGAGTCTTTTGTTTAGACATTTAGCTAGCTAGCAAAACAATGAACCATAATCCCAGCTAATACGTTACTACCCTGCATGAATCTGCCGGTAGCTAACTAACCAGGTTCAATGTTAGCCAGCTAACATTAGGCTATAACTAGAAATACAAATGGCTCTGAGATACTTATAATATTACTACACAGATCATACACGAAACGTTAGCTAGCTAACATTACACTTTAACTTGAAATGAAAATGACTTTCTGACAAAATTAGAAACGTGTAATATCTGAAAATGTAGCTAGCTAGACTCTCTTACCTGTACACATGGATGGATGCTTCTCCCTCTCTGTCACGGATGCCATGGTTGCTTTAGTTTGAAGATGTAATCCGGAGCCTTCTGTGTGTTCTCTTTTCGACTCTGTCTGCATATTTGCATTCAAACGTCTGCATTTTCTCCATCTCCTTAACTATCATACTCTTATTCCACTGATTTCAAAACTCGGTCCTCCAGAAAGTGGAGAGCAACACTAATGGAGTTCTACTATGTGATATCTTTCAAAAAAGGATTACCTACACATACTGACCAGCTCATATTATAGACAGAAGCGCGCTACATGGCAGACCAATCCAAACTCATCTCTCGGCATGTCCAGCCCACTCGTTATCTCAGCCAATCATGGCTAGCGGGAAGGTTGCTGTCTTTTTCCATGGCTAAAACAAATTGTGCTCCTGTGAAGTAGTGACGCGCGACATACGCATAGTTTTCTGAAACTAGTCACATATGGCAATGGCCAATACACTACCAAGCTAGATGCACAATTATTTGGTAGATATTTCTGCATTACATTTTCTGAGTAAGTCACAGAATAATGATTATTTTGATTGGTACATTTCTGTATAGTAGGGTTAAAGTGACTAGGCAAGAGGATAGATAAGAGAGTATCAACAGTGTATGTGGTGAATGTGTGTGTGTGTGTGAATGTATGTGTGTTGCTTCAGTATGCATGTGTGCGCAT